TCAACTGATCATCTAGCATAGACTCGTGATATTCTTGCAGCGCAAGGTTATCCCCGGGCTGGTAACTCTCCAGCACGGAGATTTCGTCTGCGTTAGCTAGCTGAACAGTGTTGTCGACTCCGCCGTGATCCGGAGACGTGGCTAAACGGTATAGGATGTCGAGAAAGTCCTCAGGATTCTCTCTAAGGTCGATTGGCTCCGATGCGATGCACCCGACGCGATCCCAGCGGAAGACACGAGCAGACATCTCCGACAAGTAGAATGAGTAGTAGTGCGTGCGATGTTGACGGAGCATAGCTTCGGTGGCATACTTGATGAACTGGCCTCGTGCCTTCCTGCCGATGTCGCTGTGGCGAAGGAATTTCTGCCTGCCGTCCTTGTCTATGTTGTGCGCGAAGAAGAATGGCGACTTGACTTCTGCGTTCTTCACTTCGACATAGCTGTTCATCCAAGCCCAAGCGCATCGGGCAATATTTTTGTCATCCTTAATTACGTCGCGCGTGTATGCATGTTCGGCGGCGAGTATGTCGATGGGGTACCGTGCAAGGTCAGGTTTGTGGTCGACTTCGGCGCTCTCGCCATGATTGGCCACGACTTTCCACCGGAATTTTGACCCTGCAAGTTCCTCTACGGCGTTGAATATGTGACACTGCGAGGTGGACGTGAGAAGTATGAAACAAAAGGAAGAAGATAATTTTGGCATACCAGCGGGATGTACTTCTGGCTCTCCGAGTTGTCTAGCAAGTCTTTGGTATCTATACTGTCGAAATTCACTAGCTGCTGTTTTTGCTCGTCGCTCAAATCTTCTCCGGGCATGAGCAATTTGAACTTATCCCGAGGGATTTGTACGCAGCGATCGTCGACCTGGGCCACCGTTGTTTCGCTCCATGAGATGGATTTCAGAGGCGAGTCGCCGTCTTTCTGTGTTTTCGCATCGACGGCCATGCTCACGACGGCAGGTGATCCCGGTGCGCCTTTCTTGAACTTTCCTGGCTCGTTCGGTTCTGGAGGGGGAGGCGTTGTGAACCGACGGACGAACTTGACTCCGGATAGTGCACTGGACTGGGAGCCGTCTTCGCTCTGCGAGACTTTCTCGTGACTGATCAGGAAGCACGGAACGAAGTCCCCGTCAACGTCTTCTGGGTCGATATCGGGGGGAAGACAACCGGCACGACTCTCGGGATGAGTGGCGGAGGAGTCGTCGGCTACGTCGAAGGAAGGGTTACGAGGGCCCGAGAGGGGGCGCGCCTGGCGCTGGTGGCTAGGCTGCCTTGGTGGCCGTGAGTCGCGCGACATGATGGGAGAGATGAGAAACGAACCTCTATGCTTGGGCCGAATATAAGGAAACGCCAGACGGGCCTGCGGCCACACTGGCAGATCAATCGCCCGGTGGTCAATGCACGGCAAGGCACCTAATCGATGGGATCTCGGCGGTCACTTTGTCCAAGTCGCAGGTTGAGGTGCAAATGACTAAAAATGGCCAGACTTTGTTATGGCGGTCAGCATTAATAAATAATTCCCGAACACCGACGTACCTTGCTCTTGCCAAGGCACGGGGATAGCTTTTCGCAATAAAAACAACAACCCTTCTCGATTTCGAACGTTAGAGGGTAGGCATTAAGAGCTCTGTGAAGACAGGCGCAGTGGCAAGTCTGAAACTACCATCTGTTGTTATCCAGATCGCGTGCGGAGATCGCCGGCGTTAGCGCGCAGCGAGGACTTCCCTAGGTCAACCCTGGGTACATTCCAAATTATAATAGCATTGAGCGACGTGAGGGAGCGCATTACTTTCCAAAACCTGAAAGGAAAAAATTTGCCGCCGCTTTGCTGTTCTTAGGAGACAAATTCTGAGTGAGCTGACCAGTTTTGCGCGAGGGGAGGGGGGCAGTTCATCAACTGACCAGCTTTGGAGGTGCTGTAGAACTTGAAAGCTACTCTCTGTATGGAGAGGAAACTTCAGAGAAGATTCGAGTAGACAACACGAATAGGGTGTGAACTTGGGTTTGAAGCAGTTCGTTGCAGAATCATCGTCATGATGCGTGCGGAGATCACCGACTCAGAGCCCGCCAGCCTGCCCTTAAGCTAAAGTCTACCTAGATGCCTATCTTATTCGCAACGCTGACCTCAAGCCTGCCTGGGTAGGTTTATAAATCTGAGATACAAAAGCAGAAATTTTAACCTTAATTTACTGCCGTACACAGGATGACACCGAACGACCACCGGCATCTACTTCGACTTTGGTGCCTTTTGTCGAGCTACATGGCTGCTGACTAGCGTGCTTCCCGCTCGGGCTATCAGCTAGTGCGTCGAATAGCATAGTAAGAAGGCGTCAACGTAGACGGGGGGCGTTCGCGCTCGCGCTTAGGCTGCGCCGATGTGCTGCAGCAAAAACCTCACCTGGAAATTTAGTATTAGTACACACGCACAAACGGCTAATACGATAGACCCTGACGTACGATCCGTTTTCAGGCAGGAGAAGAGAGGACTACTCTCGGATTGCGAGGGTAGCCGGGGGTTCCTCCGAGGTTCGCTGGACCGCGGCCTTGGATCGAGCTATCCCGGTGTTCGATGTTGGGAGAGGGCGATTTAGGTGTGTCAGTGGCGGCGCTACAAGCGACGGAAGGGTGCAGGGGGCGGCGGAGTCTGTCGGTGAGCTCGCAAATCCGAACGACGCTCTCACGGCGTCTTCTAAAGGCCTTCGCAGCTCAAAGGTCTCGATCGGCTGCCCTCGTCACACGCGAGGCGTTCACAGCGAGCTGTCTTTTACTGGGAGAAAAACCTGTGTATTCGGGCTAACTACAGGGGAAAAACTCCAGATAGAGAGTTGTACAGGTGGTGGGTCTGGGGAGACATTGTCTACTCTAAATTTTACCCTACGCAAGTGTACATACCTCGGTGCATGTTTGTACCTGTTTTGCCCACCGATCGTGGGTGGTCCGTGCGCGAATGTTCCGTAAGCATGTTCGTAACGAATACTGATACTCACCTCGACAGTCCTTCGGCCGACACTGTTTGTGTCCAGTCGAGATCGATGCTTGACACCGTACGCTCAAAGCTTGCACTGTACATGCCACTGGTACTACTATGCTTGCTTGCTGCAGCACACTAACTTGTTTAATCATATTTCTAATAATCCCGTATGTGAGAAGAGCTCGGTTTCCATGAGTATCTATTAGTGATTTGACTGGCTCGGCTTGGCCCAGAAGCCGGTGGCTTTGGCTTGGCTTCGCCAGGCTTAGGCTTGCGAAAAGCCAAGCCAAGCCGCAAGCCGCCGCAAGCCATAAGCCAGTGGCTCGGCTTTGGCTTGGGCCGCGGCTTGAAACCTAATTAGGCAGGTGCCACTGTGGATTGACCTTGTCAATGGTTCCACGGCCACCGCACGTAGACATAGGAGTATGTACAGCATGTAAAGAGTTTCTTTGTATAGTATGATGTCTAAATACATACTCTGAGATATAATTTAGATGTGAAACATCAATAAAGTCATTCAGAAACTCGAACTTCATACAAAAGGAAGGACGCACTGCCAAATAAAATGCGCGGACGCCGGAGACGGTGCATGCGCGAGTGGCGAACAGCGGAGGCTGACATGACGCGGCAAACACCTGTCACGGTCAGGGGTGCCGGGGGTGCTGGCAAACCGCAGGAGGTGCAACACGACGTTTCGTGTGCGCCCTCGGGTGGTTGCACCCAGATAAATTATATTATGCCTATATAAGGGCTCATTTGCCAGCGCGCATGTCGCGCAGCGCCTCGACGCGGTGGCCAAGCGGGCATCAGGTGTCGGGCAGCTAGGGACCTCTAGCACTCGCCCTGCCGTTTTGAACTGGAAGGCGCTGCCTTTGCAAGCAGGTGCACCCACCTGAACAAGCCTCTCCTTCCATGTTGGCAGAACCTTGAAAAGCTGTTCGGACAGGGGCTCGCAATGTTACATGGCAGCTGGTTAAGCGGGGCAAGCGCTGGCGCCCCCACTATATTTCTTTGTGGTGAGGCTCAGTCTTATTAATAATCTATTGATTTATCTACATTAGAAGACAGATGCAGTAGAGGAGAACACAATGTAATATTTTAGGAATTTATCGCTAATTACTCTAACAGCAGTACTACATACAGCAAGTTTATTATCTAAAGCCGCGGCTTGCCGGCTTGGCTTGGCTGGCTTGACGTCCAAGCCAAGCCAAAAGCCTTTTCAAGCC